CACACTTGCTGGAAATTTTCAGCAACTTTTTCATGAGTTTGACTCATGATTTATTGAGTTTTAAGAGCATTTAAATACCATCAATTTTAATTTTGGGTGATCCATGAAAATAGGAAATTATTTCCTACTTTAAAAACAATTCCTAAAATTAAGGATAGAATTTTAATTTTGGGTGGTGCATAAAAATAGGAAATTGTTTCCTACTTTAAAAGAAATTATTAAAATTAAGGATAGTATTTTAATTTGGGAAATTGATAGGAAATAGTTTCCTACTTCATAAGAAATTCCTAAAATTATTTAATAGCATTGAATCTTCCTTAAAATTTTGGTTTGATTAGAAGTTTCCAAAATTTGTTAAGTCACCGTTTAGGTAAATTGAACAACATACAATTTAGGAAACTAATCCATATTCTAAATGTTAGAAATGAAAATGTTGCATTAGATATATTTTAGGAAGTTTACCTAAAATAAAGAAGTTTTAATTATCGAAAGAATTAAAATAGAAAGTCTTAAAGAGGAAAAGTTTATTTCAATGAATTTCTAATAAGAAATAAGAAGTAAAATGTTTACTTTAAGTGTTTTGAAATTGGGAATTTCTTAAACACTAAATTGAAATAAAACAATATCAAATAATTTGAGTTTAGCACTTTAAGTGAATTAATTGATGCTTTTCTCAAATAACACACAATATCACCAAGTGATATTGAGCTTGCATTTATTTCTATGCTTTTAATTGTGATTATAAAGAATGAGGATGATTATGGACTTAGACTTAGAAGATTAGATCATGGATGGTTAAATTTATTCCTCATGGTATTTATTTTAAAATAGGGTCTGCGCACCCTGCCTTATCTCTATTTTCTTTAGGTTGTAAAATACTTTTCTGACCTAACTCTCCTCTAATGTAACTTGAGATTTCTTGATTATAAAATGTAATTAGTTACATCAAAGTGTAAAACTAGGGTTAGCTAGAAATATTTTTGTAACTTGAAGATGGAGATCCAAAGGCGCCATGGAGATTCAAGGAGATTACAAGCAAAGCTTGAAGACAATGTTTATGTAAATCCCTTAAGAATTTAACCAACTAATTTCCTTAATAGCTCGAGGAAATTAGAATTAGTAAAGTCCATATTCATCCTAGTAGTTAACATGAGATAGATTTATTTTTCAGTATATATATATATGATATATGTGAAATGCGATAAA